GAATTTTAATTGTAAAAAGAAATTTTAAAAAATTTCTTCGTTTATTAACATTGTATTTTATACAGTTAATTTCCAAATCAAATTTGGAAGAACAATATTTTTAATCTTTCTCGAAAAATTTTAACATATTCTTCGTACTTCCAAACAAATTTGAGAAAAATATATTTAAAAAAGAAATTGCGAATGCCAGAAAATTTGCATCATGATTACTTTTACGTAGAAAAATTTTAAATTTAAAAAAAAAATCTTGGAAAACTCGTAGAAAAATCTCTCTGCGATTAATTTTACTTTCAATTTTACGACAAATAATTTAAAATTCAACGAAATCCACGAAAAATTACCAGAAGGGGGTCGCGATTCGAAAAAGTGGTTGGGAACCCCTGCTACGTGGCACGCGTAAGGGATGAAATCAAGACCGGTACAGGTTTCTATCTCTCCTATTTACGCCCTATCTAGCCTCTATAAAGATCAGGATAGGGGAAAGCTACCGTACAATCGATTACGTACGCTACGATTGAACACTTAGGATGGAAACATTGCTCGCGTACTTTTCCTTTCGATTCGCATTGGACGTTATACAGGGTGTCGATATATTCGTGGAATACCCTTTGGTGGAGGATCGATTATGGTGGAGGGGAAGATGGATAAAAAAGTGTCGGTCGAGGCTTGCTTGTCGAGTTACGAGCAATTGAAGTTTGCGTTAGAGGGATGAATTTAAATCAAGTTTGTAACTAGACTAGGGATTTTTACAGATATGTACTTTCCATGCGTATTTCCTAGATTCTTCCTTCTTCGGTGGAATCATTTATATTTTTTAATTGATGTTCGATCGATAAAACTTCTAATGTATTTAATCAAATACATATATACGTATTCTTTATTGTATTTATATATTGTATTTTCCCTCTCTGTTGATCGTATAATTTGGAATTATTCTGAACAATTTCAATCTTAATATATTAAGCAGCAGAAAAATATCCATGTGTGATTTATTATTATCTCTCTTCCACTTCGATATTTTTAGACAAACAATTTATCGAGAATTATCTATCTCTGTACAATGTAATAAAATTGTAATATTCATATTAATTTTTATTTTTTATCGAATATTTATTATAAACTTCGATAGAAATAAATCTTTGCTTCGTGGCCAATTTCTTCTATCTCAATAGCTTTCAAACGATGTAACCATGAATCATATCAACACCCTGCACAACGATTCTTTTGTTTCTGTATACACAATATAAATACACTCGACCAGAGTAGATTGCAGTAACACTTACGGGAACCGATATACGAACCACTGGCAGTTTATTCGACATTTTTCTAGGATTGTTGCTCCTAGCTGCCCCGCTCACATAGCTGCATCCATATAAAAGAGAAAAAATCAATTACCGTTGTTTTCGCTGGTTGGAATGGAATTCTCTGGGAATGGTTTATTTTATTCTTTTTTTTTTTTATTTTTCTTCTTTCTTTCTTTCTTTTTTTTTTTTTTTTATAACTGCAACTCGACAGATCATTACCGACATCGAAACGTCAAAAGTGGTGATGGAAGTTCATTTGTTTTTCGACAACAACGTCCGTTTCAATAATTGTCTCTCGATTTACATTAATCATTATAATTATCAAGATTCAATTGTTCGAAAAATAATAAGTTAAATTTAGGAAGAATTAATCGTTCAAAGTTTCAGTTAATCGATTGAATTGAGTCGTCCATTGAATTACTTGAAACTTACTCAATTGACTTGATCAATTGAACGTTTGAAACAATAAGAAAATTCTCGAAAGATATAAGTGATTTAGATCGTTATAAGTGATTGATCGTTATTAATTTATTTCTATTAAAATTCTACAGGATATTTATATATATATCCGTGAAACATCTTTCGAAGACCAAAATCAAAGATTGAAACGAACGTAAAAGTTGGAGAAAGACAATTCACAGAATCAAACGTCGAAAATGAATTATTTACGAACGAAATTTTTGTTATCGAAACTTTTACAAAATCCTTAAATTTTCCTCCAAAACTTTTTTTCCACGAAACACCCTGTATATGTTGAGCACAAACTAAAAAAAAAAAAAAATCCAATGTATAATTTCCAATGTATTTTTCGAATCCCTTGGTTAATTTTTGAAAAAGCACGGATAACATTTCACTCGCGGCGAAAAATGAAATTACAATCCTTCCATTCATCCGTTCGTTTCCATTTTCTGAATGAAAAATCACGTTTGAATCGCGCGCCAACGCCCGATACATTCTTAATTTCCGCTCGATATCCATCCTCGATCCGAGCGGAAATTATTCGAGTGTCGAGATAATGGAGAGTGAGTACGTAAGTCGTTGCCATCGATAGATTCATCGTTCAGGAAATTTGGTCGATTAGAAAAGAGGAAAGGGAAGAAAGAAAGAAAAAGGAAGAGAGAAAGAGAGAGAGAGAGAGAGAGAGAGAGAGAAGGCGACGGTGCATAGTTATCACGATTACGTCGACGATGGGTTTGTTACGTGCCAACGTGTACGAGAACAGGTAATTGCGTGTCGATATCGATGGCATGACGCGTCGAGATCGTCCGAGATCGCCCGGGTGGAAGCTCGTTTGAAATTTAAATCGCGCGGGTAAATCGAGGACGCCATTAAAAGAGTGACGATTCGTAATAGAGAATGGAGATTCGATTCTTTCTGGTTTTTGAAATTAGAGATTTTTTTGTTTCTCTCTGGTATTAAAATTGATAAATTTAATTCGAGAAAACGGGATTTTTTCAAAATGATGATTTGAAGATTTTTTTTTTTTTTTAGAAAAGATAAATTGTATATTAATTTAACAACGGGTATAATTAAATTGATGAATTTAAGTTTTTGATAATTATTGAGATTTTTATTCTCGATGAAATTCGTATGATTTTTATAGATCGTATTATAATTTTGTTTTTTTTTTTTTTTGGAATTTAGAATTTCGAATTAAAATTGAATGAGAACCGTTGCTACAATTCTTTGGCTAGATGACAAATCTGATGTGTCATTTTTTTCGTTGAAATTTAAATAGATAATATGTACGTGTTTTTTCATATGCATTTAGATAACTATTAATTTGGAAAATATGTCACACGTTTATTTAGAAAAGATAAGAAGAATAGATTGCATTTTTTCGTGATCTTACAGAATGAATGAAATAATGAATGAAATACAAAATTACAATGCTATAAAATTGAAAAAAAAATTTTGGAATTTGTCATCTCAGCATAGAATAAAATAATTTTTATTGATCTTTGAAAATTTGAAACATGTAAAATCTTTGAATAAGTATTTTAGTAATTCAATTTTCTAAAATTTTTACTTCAAAATTACTATAATGCGATTATATTGTACCTTTCATTTTTAATTTCCTTTCAAAAATAATTTATTTAAAAAAAAAAATTGTTACGATTAATAAAAATTTTTACGTGCAAATACAATTCCTAATAATTAATAATCGAACAATAAAGTTCGAAAATTTTTTGAATTACTTAAACAAAAAATTCCAATAAATGAAAATGCATATTTTACAGACCTAGTAAAAGTTTTTAGATAAAAAAAACTTTTTGTTCCTCGAATGGTACACCCACTATGAAAATGAGGACAATGGCAAAAGAAAGCTAGACTTTTGTGAAAAAAGTAAAGTCACAATTAAAGTCCAAATAAAAACCAGTCACGTACATCTTACCACGTTCTTTCTAAACGTTTTTCTGTATTATCTTTTTCAATCTTACTACTTCATGTTTTATATATTTTTGTTTTAAGAAATTTCAAAAATTATCGATTAAAGAATTTCGTTCTTTTTATATTACATATATTTATTAATTCAATTTTAATAAAATAAAATATTAATAATAATTTAATTATTAAAAAATTGATTTAATAATAACATCACGTTTGAATAAGTTTTTTTATTTTAATTATCGAATTTTATAAAGAGTTCTTCATTTATTTTCGTGGAAAATTTTATTTTTTTTAAAATAACAAGTAAAAAAGTTTTAAAGGATGAATTTATCAAAAATAAATTTTTCTTAGATTTAAACATTCTAAAAAATTCAGAATGCATTATTATCAATTTAACCATTCGAATATTAATATTAAATTTGAACCAAACAATTAGCAATTCCAAAAATAATATAGGAAATTATATTGAAATATTCAAGCAAAATATTAATGACTATACTTTAATTTCTTTTGAAAAATGAGAAACATAATAACAAAGACACCCACTTTAACTACTACATACTTACTACATTATAAATGAAATTCACAATAAGTATAATTAGTTTCCAAGAAACTGTCAATGCTTAATGAAGTAAAAAATATTCCATATAAAAAGCATCATTAAATTAATATTTAAAATTCAATTAAATTTTCATCTATGATTCAGAAAATTAATTCATACAGAAAGTAAATTAATCAACTTTAACAAGAGTAGTTATTAATTATTAATTACTTATGATACGATTATTAATTAATCTCTAATGATACAGTATGCGGGTAAAAAATTTTGCCTCGATAATACTGTCCAAAAACTTGTTATTAAAATCATCAATGCGAGGAAAAATTCTTATATCTGGAATTCCAAGATTATAAATATCCTCCATGCATAATTGAAAGAGCTATGTGTACACTAGAAATGAAAATGTGAATAAAATTTTATTATGCAAAAATAATTTTGAATAAAAAAATTACAAAGTATAATAAATTAAAGAAAATTATTATTGCGCAAGATTTTTTAAATTCCTTTTTTACAATTTCACATAATTTCATAAAATCTGAAATATTAATGCATTTTAAAAATTAACTTTACGAAAAAAATATCAGACATAAAAAAAAAATATCATACATTTTTTCCTATTATCAAAAAAAATAAAATATATAATTCGAAATTATATTCAAAAAAAATTCGAACAAAATTAATTCGATTATGAATATTTAAATTAATTTTTCTCGAATCATGAATATGCAAAGAAAAAAATGACTAACCTTGAAGCCAGTAAGGAACGTCGCGGGATCAGAGGGGGTCCGGGCCGAGGACGCCTGATTGGTGGCCCCGTAACTCAACTGATGCTGATAGTTGGAAAGGATCTTCTTGTGAGCACTTGCCTGAGCTCTGTAAGCCGACACTGATAACTTCATTTCTTCCCGTTAAAGGGTACGATCCTTCCGATTCTCCACTTGGATTGCATCCTTGTTCCTTTAATCCTCCTTCACAAAAGGAACGACTCAATCGTAGAAAAATTCTAAGAGAACGAAACAACGAACTTCCTGCTTCGATTGCTGCTTCTCTCGATCTCCGTTCCACGATCGATTGTTTTACTTTATTTGCTCTTTCGATACACTTGTCTCGAACCTCCTCTATTTTCGATAAGTGTCTCCCTCTATGCAGTTGCGTTTGAAAGAATCGTGTTGGTAATGGTGTATCGAAATTGTTAAATATTTGTGATGTGATATTCTTTCCTCGCTTCGAGATTCATCATTTCGTTAAATCTTAAGATTTAAAGGAGAATTTCCTTCTACGGAGTTTATAGATCGTGGAACAGACGAATTTACGTAGATTAGAGAAAATTTATTATAGAATTCTGTTAATTTGGTTATCTTGGTTAGGTTAGATTGCCAAGAAGCTTTATTCTCGTATTTTGTTTCTTGATTTTATTTGATGAAATTTATTTATATTTATTTTTCTTAATAGAAAAATTTTGGTATGAATGTTAATAGAAGAAGCGAAAGTTTTAGTGATTTTATTAGTCGATTTGTGGAATTTATTTATTAACGAACGAATCAATTTTTATGAATTTAACCAATGGAAGTTTTGTAATGGTTTTTAGTGAATTAGTTGTTATAAACTTAGCCAAGTTACAAGGAGACTTCACCAAAATGACTCGTTCTTTTTTTACTTTCTTATTTTGATAATATTGTTGATCTTCAATGGAATTTATTTATGCTTGATTAAAGAATCAGTTGTTAATTAAAATTTAACTGAAATAAAGTGGAAGTTTTGGTGATTTTAATAATAGAATTTAAGTAAAATTAAAGAATTTATTTACGTTTTGTTACGAATTTAGCCAATCACGTGGAAAAGGCAACTTATAGTTTAAGACGATTTCTTGTCTTCTCTTTCTTCGACGATGATTTCCCGCGAGAGAGGAGAAATATGTACAGATATACGTGATCTTTTTCTATGTTTCCGAGATTTTTTTCGATATGTCTATTCCTCGTGATAGGAATAGATTCGTTTTGGATGGGTTTTTAGATTCAGTCTTGATGAGCGGACTGATCAAGGAGGAAATCCTTTTAGGAACCGTATCGAGGATTAAACATCTTGTGACAAAAGAGAATGGATATCGATCGTTGGAATAATCCTTCTTTCGTTTACTCGACCACGTTCAGTTTTCGTAACGACCTCTTCTCGATTGAAGATTTTCTTTGTCTAAACAGGACTTTTCACTTTAATTTTCAAAATTTTAATTCTTTCGAAAATTATAATAAAGTTTTCTCAATCGGAGATCTCTCGATGCAAATCTTTCAAATTCTCCAAAATTTTAATTTTTTGAAAAAAAAATAACGATCTCCTTTCTTGATCTAAATAGGATCTGATCTAATTTTCGAAATCTTAATTCGATAAGAACGATCAAACGTCTCTTACCAATACCAATTCTTCTATATATTATTATTCTATAATTTATTTAATAATCTAATGATAATACGTATGAACAATATATTATACATCGAAGGCAGATAAACTCGAACCTCGATTCTTCAAATATACTCGTCATCTCTCCACATGAGGCATCTCCATCTCATCCACAAGGAACTGAACACTCTTAACCTTTCTTTATCGTCTTCTATCAAAATTATAATTTCATTGATCCAACAATGAGTCGTTGAGAGACGAGAACACACGACATTGCTCGATTCTTAGCCCATCGAGGAACATCTTCTTCCTATTTCTCTTTATTCTTCGCCGATTCAAACTATAAGGCCACGTGTCGTCGTTCATCAAATGTCTAGCGCGTGGCGTACGAAGGGAAAACTGTATTCCAGGCGCCAAGAGATCGCGGCAGAGACATCTACGCTCCTTTTTGATCCACCTCTCACGCGTATCCTCGTTTGGATTAGTTCCACGTAATAGCTCGCAGCTATGCTTTCTTTTGTCGTGTCCTGTGATCGATTCTATACTAGCCGCAGTGGCACCGAGATGCAGAAGAGATCGAGCATGATGTTCGACCAGTCCTCGAAGAACCATTGGACACTTGGAGGAGAATATCTTGGGTCGAGGAAGGATTATCCTCGATCGTCTTCTTAGGTTAGGTTATGTTGCCTTCGATCGAAATCGAATAGCGAATAGATAATCATTTCCTTATGGAGAGTATTCTTGGTTCTTCGTGGTTGTTCTTGTTATTTATTATCGTGGCTGGCACTTTTGACACTTCACTGCACGAAGATTATCACTAATATCATGAAGTTTATTCGGTTGTTATTGTTAAATGTCGTGAAATCACTGGAAGTGTGTTTGCTTGTGAGTGCTTCAAATCTAAAGAATTATTATTTTTAGTGATTTGAATCTTGAAAAAAATTTTGAGAAATGTACAAAATTTTAGATAAACACAAATATTTTATAGAATAACTCAAATCAAGGAAAATAGGAATTTCGACAATCGAAAATATTGGTAGAATAATTTAATTTTTTCGTATATTACGAAACACTCTATTCTATATTTGAGATGTTTTAAATTTGAGTTCAAATCACGAAAGATAACTAGTTGATGATCCAAAATATTTTTCTAATAGTTCAAATCGTGGAAAGTATCGAAGAAGATTCGACGACTTCGAAATTCGTTCGAAATGTACGACAATCACGAATATTTTTTATTCTGATCTAAATTGACAAAATTATTGGAAATTTCGGCAATTAAAAATATTTTTAAGACGATCTAAATCATGAAAAATAACGCGAAACTTTCAACGACTCAAATACTTTCGAGACAGTTCAAATCGTAAAAAGTAACGAAACAATTCGATGATAATTCAAATTTTTAAATAGAATAATTTAAATCGCATGGAAAATAATTTTCGATAATCTAAAATATTTTTACAACAATTCAAATCGCAAGAACTATCTGAAATTTTTCAAATACAATCCAATTATTTTTCCAACTTCTCAGTTTCGTGCTTAAAAAGAGAGATTAGTTCGAAAACGTTTCTAACCGTCGCAGAGAAACGGATCGAGTCAAAACACGTGTCACACACGTAAAAAACCTCTCGAAGGCTTCGCGATCCAATGAAATTCATTGCAACATTAAGACGCGTTTCCAATGATAATCTATCGATTCTAACCATGAAACTCCACATTTAAACTACAAATCATCTTCTTATCTTACACGTGATCAATTATGAATTTTTATGCAAAATTTTACTTCTATATGACGAATAAGCTAATAGTAACAAGTATGGTAATTTTTGATATTTTGTAAGTTTTTAAATTTTGTATAAACAAATTCGTAAATATTTAGCATTAACGTGTTTAATTCGAACAATTCTCAATCATTGTTTGGTTCAAATATAATCGACAGATCAAGTGAAGTGTTATTAAATTTAAAAAACGAAATTAAATATAAAAGGAAAGAGGGAAAAAAAAATTTATAATAGTGAATAGTTTTGTTCTCCTATTTTGCTGAATAAGATTCGATGAAAGAAAACGTTACTGATCAATTGCGTAATCCGCTTAAAGTTAGTCGTTGAAACGTTGAAAAATAGAACTGTTTCGATCAGTGCAGTACGTTTGGGATGGTGGAAAAAGCTGCTAAAGTAATGAAACTGGAAACTCTAAATATTTTTAGCTAGAAGACTATTGGTGATTCAAAATATAATATGTGTGTTTACGATGATTCCAAATGGTGAAAAGTAAGAAAATTTTCGATAAAGCAAATAGTGCAAAATAAAAAAAGTGATCAAGGAATGTGCAACAGTGAAAGAAAAGATCAAAAAAATCAAAGTGATAGTGACAAACATCGGTGATCAACCGTGTAATCCATTTAACCGTGGAAATTAGTCATTGTAGAGAGGAAAAATGGAACTGTTTCGATTATTCGTTATTTCCTCTCAATTGAATATTGAGAATAATTGATTGATAATCAGAAGTGGAAAATTAGAAAATTAGTTGGAACTCATTCACTGATGCTTTTTGTTTCTTCGCCTATTTCGTAAGTTTTATTTTTTTTTCGAATATTTTTATATAATCAATTGATTTAGTAAACAATAACCAATAGATACAAAAATTAGAACTTTATTAATTAATTTTTTCGTCTTTTTTTAATTCTTCTTATTTTTTTCATCTGAATATTCTAAATCGATTGATGAAAATGTTTAAAAACTGATAGTTAAACAACAATTACATAAATTGTTGATTAGCTGATAATGCTGTTCTCTATGATCTCTTCTATTTTTTCCAAAGTTAATAACCATTCATAGTGGACAAAGAAATAATTTAGAATTTTTTATTTACTGATACTATTGATTTTGTTTTCCTATTTTTTTCAATTCCTTCTTTTTTTCAAATTAAATATTTTAAATCATAAATTAATTATCACGTAATGAACAAAGAATAATTATTCAAAAAGTTATTGATTAATTTTTCCATTTCTCTCTATAAATACTTGTATTTTCTTGAATTGAGTATTCTAAATAATCAATTGATAATCATACATAAAAATTATCTAATTTCCATTAATTTGTTTATCTTTTCTATTATTTTGATTGAATATTCTAAACGATCACTTAATTACAAATAAATGATATACATAAATAATCCAAAATTCGTTTTTTCACTCTCTACAATTTTTTCTATTTTTTCGATCGTTAAATGATCAATCGATAGAATTTAAAATATTCTGAATGATCTACACGTGATGAACAATTCTTTTACGAATTCCTTCTATTTCTTCGATCTCAAACGGACAAACGATATCTATGCTTAATTATCTAATGTCCATTCATTTGTCCATTCTCTTCAATTCCTCTTATTGCTTCGATCGAATATTCCAAACAAATGTTTAACAAACGATATCCACATGTAATTTCCGCTTATTTATTCATTTTTATAACTCCTATTGCTTCGATCGAATAAGAAACGATCGATTAACAAATTCACGCGTAATTATCTAATTTCCATTCGATTCTTCGTCGAATATCCCAAAACGAAAAATCCACACGCGAAAAAATATTCCAAACGATTAATAAATTCACATAACGATTTCCATTCATTTCTTCATCGAATATCCCAAACGATTATTTAAAAAAACAATATCCACACGCAATTTCAAACATTTCAAAACAATTAATAAAACAAACAATTGCATGATTATCTAATTTCCACTCATTTCTTTATCGAATATCCCAAAAGATATATTCATAAAACAAACGAATAGATAGATAGAACGATAAAAATATAAAATATTCCAAACAATTAATAAATTCGCATAACGATTTCCATTCATTTCTTCATTCATTCTACAACAAATTCCTTTGATCGAATATCCCAAACAATTGATAAAACAAATCCTGTGTGCGTGATTACCTAATTTCCACTCATTTCTTCGATTAACAAACGATTATCCACGCGAAATTAAAAATATTCCAAACGATTGTTAAACTCCTATAACGATATCCGCGCGTGATTATCTAATTTCCACTCGTTTCTTCCTACAACAATCCCTCGTATCCCTTCGATCGAATATCCGAAAATAGCTGTTCAACAAACGAATAACGAATAACACGGAAACATATATTACGCGTAGAAGCGATACGGAACGTTACTAAACCGCAACGCGTTGCGTCCGTAGCTCGGGCATAACTGGATTACACCGCTGCCAACCGTGCATCGAGGCATCGACTGACCACCACGAGGTTCGCTTTGTCCGCTCTATATTCACCCTTCGCTGTAACTGGATTAAATATTATCATAAACTGCGCGCGAACCGTGTCCCTACCTACGCGCCATTCTTCTCTCCAGCGCATTCTTCCCTCCGCTTCTCTTCCAATTCCTACCTGTATCGATGATCGTTTCGAACGATTTCTCGATCTATTTATCTTCTTTCGATGATCGGATTTTAGAAAGAGAATTGATCGTATTAATTTGTGAATATTGTTGAGGTAATTGTTAAGTTTGAAGATAAATGAATTTTTGAAATTCGTTTTTTTTTTTTTAAATTAATTTTCGAGTGATGAGGATCGGGAAGAGAAGATTTGAGGAAATCGATTGAGAAAATTTTGAGAAAGAAGATAATTATTGTTTTATGAAGAAGCTTGGTGATTAATTGAATTTGAAGATGTTGAAGTAATCGAGTTTGGAGATTATACATTTTCGATCGTGAAATATATATATTTAGATTTATTCGACGAATTTTTTATTTCTATTTTTTTTTTTTTTTTTTAATATTAATTGTAGAGTTAGAGAGAAAAAATAAATACAAATTTGGAAGAAGAAACGAAGACAGTTATTATTGTACGAGAATTCATTAGGTTCTCTGAATATTTTATAAAATCAAAGACAAGAAGTTGCAGAAAAAAGTATATAAAATTTTATAGTATATAAAAAGAATTTTTTGGGATATCTCTTTTAAAAATCACGAGCCATATAATGTAAAATATATATATATATATAATTAATTTCTCCTAATTTTTTACCTAATTTTTTTATCTAATTGATAATTAACAATTTTTTTGAAAAATGTATACGATTATAATACATGATTTATATAACAGTAAATGGATCTTGTCTAAATGGATGTTTAATCCTCGTCTCAAGGAAGGGAAAAATTAAAAAAGAAACCAAAATCCTTCCATTAAACACCTTAAAACTTATATCTCCAAACTTTATTCCATTTCGTCCTTTCGAAGACAGAAATCGAAAAGAACTCTTCTCTCTTTCCCCTTCCCCTTGTATTTTTTCGAATTTCGATAAAATGGAGTCTTAAAAAAAAAATATTTGTCGAATGAAGAAATGGAGGAATAATGGAACAAGCGAACGAAAAGCCACGGTTGTCGATTCGTTTAATGATCGCAATTATTTCTTAAGCAAACTCCTATTCCTCTTTCAAGCCAGTATGGTTGGCACTGTTTAACGAGGATACACTATGAAATGAACAGAAATTTCAAACGTTAATTTTAAACGTGAATTATATTAAACTATCGACAGTGAATTTTTTAGTATTAAAATTTGATTAGAAGTTTTTTGATTATTTGCTTTTTAATTTATTTCGTAAATATTTCGTTCGTTACTTTCGTCCAAATTAGATTAAAAAAAATTTGAAAATGAAAGTGCAATTTCACATTAATCTATAAATTATTTTTTTATTTATATAAATATTGAAAGTTTCTAAGTTTTTGTTTAATTACAAATTTGCGCAAGGTATCCATTACTTCAATACAATTCTTTATATGTTTCGATCTTACAATATGTAAATTATTCTATTTCTTTTCGAAAGTGTTCAAAAAATGAAATTATTTACAAAACTATGAAATTTTAACTAAAATTTAAAAATTTATTTAAAATATCCATACTTTAAATAATTTTTAATTTTAATAAATTATATCTTCTTCGTAAAAATCTCAAAGGAAAATCATAAATAAAATTGATAAAAGAAATATCCTTGATAAAATGTTATCTTCAAAGGATTAAGTATCCAATGATATAATGAAGTGAGAAAAAAAGAGAAAGAAACGTATATAACTTGTTCATTGCCTATTATGACTGCATTGCTATTCCTCTCGTCACTTTTCAGCCCTTTCCTGTCTTTCCATCTAGATTCTTGCACAAACAGCCTGTCATTCCACGTATCAATCATTCCCAATTGGTCATTACGAAAGATCGAGAGGGACAGTGTGCGGAGCCACCCTTTTTATCGAGTTTATGCGAAACCAATATTTCGAAGATTTGGATATTTTTTTGTCCAATATCAAATTTCGTTCCATATATTTAAAAAAAAAAAAAGGAAAAAAATTAAAGAATTAATTTTTGAATTGGAATTAAAGATGATTTTTGAGACGTGAAATATCATTGGAATGAAACTTTGAGAGTAGAATATATTAAAATTTTTAAAGTTTGAAATTAACGAGATTATTAAATTCAATTTGTATTATTAAAAATCCAAAATCTATAATATATTTAAAAATGACGAATACCGATTAACAATTTAATTCTCCCGAATCTAACATATATCTAAAAATAAATATAAATTTTCGAAATAACACAGAATCTAAATTATTATTTTATAAAACGAGAAAATTAACTGAAGCTACTTCTCTCGTTGTTACAATCTCCGAATAATTTAGAAAAGTGACTCTCATCAAATCTTACAATCACAAAAATAAAGTCAATCGAAAAGACGATGGTTGTAGGAAGCAAGCCAACAGCACGAAGACTCTTTCGTCAGCACTTCTTCTTTCATTAACTCCTCTTTCTCCTTCCCCCTCCATTCCTCCCATACGCACACACATCCGAGATACCGCGGCAAACAACTAGAGGAAAACCACTTTAACAACTACCAACATCCCCCTGGCACACAGAGAGCAATCGAACATCCCCATTTAAGATGATAAAAGCGACTAATCCAAATATAGGTTTCCGCTTCCTCGCTCTATTTCTTGCCCTCCTCGTGTAAGGACGAGCCTGGTAAATGAATTACGCGATCTCTCGAATCAGGTCGACAGAAATTACGCGAGAAGGTCGGCTCTCTTTCCTCGTTTAAAACAATCGTCATCACGCTACGAGATTTTATTAAAACGGCATTCCGAACGCTTACTTCCGGTTCGAGGAAGCCGGATGTCACTCGAGGGAAGTAAGGCTAATTAAGTTAATTAGAATCCGCGTTGCTTCTTTCGATATCCTTGAAAATATTTCGAAATAAATCTTGAACGTTTCGAAATAAATTTAAAACGATATATTTGTGATCTATTTGTATTTTTTTTTTCAATTTTTTTTCAAATTGAGTTTTTTTCGAAGGATTCGTAAAAGAAAAACGATCTTTGTTTAATTTTAGTCGTGAGATTCATCATAAATTTTGATTAAATATGAATTTTTTGAAATGTTGTTATTATGAAAGTATTTAATATTTATGAAATATTTATAATTTGAAAAATATAATGTGAAAAATTCAAAATTTTTTAAATATTTCGAAAATATATTGATAAGATTTCTGTTTCCAGTGAGAAATGCTCAAGATGATTCATGAAAACGCGACATTCTATACATAATTTTTCGGAAAAAATCAACCGATTTTTTGATCGATAACGCAAAATCAATTTTTAAAAATATCCTGAAATAAATCCAATCTAGAATACTTATACCCACATTCTTCTATACACGTATTTCAATTTCTTTATACGATAATTATTTCACGTTTCAGCATGCAAAATATTTTGCAACAACCAACAATATATTTGAAACCATTCACGGACACGTAACACCCTATCCATAGTACCTCGAAAGAAGAAGGATTAGCCTGAACACACTGAATCAAGTCAAATGAAATCGCTCGTAAAACAGTAAAATAATAACTATTAAACACAATTGTATCAATCGACTCGATTGATAATAATTAACAACAAATAATGACACCTACACAAGACAAGTCACTGAACAACCATTATGTAACTCACGATACGAGACGTATAAAAAAAAAGAGGGAAAAACACTTTTAATTCGAAAAAAAAAAACACGATCGATTTACCGAAATCTTTAAGGTTAACCGCGGTGGAAGGAAACCGGTCGCGGACCGGCTGCTATTTCCTCACGCACGTGTTACTCGACCCCACGAAAGTCACTAGGCGGCCAGTAGCGACCCCCGCCAGTCGTGGAGGAGACGGTGGGTGTGAGACAGGATGCCTGAACGTCTGCCTATGGGGGGGATGGTGTTGGTGGGGGCATGAGAAATAGTGGGGTGGAAAAACAGGAACAAGCGGGCAAGAGGCTGGTAGAGTGGGGCGATACCCCTCTCTGACAAGAGAAACAGACAAGAGGGGAGTCCATCCCTACTTTGTCCCAATCTGCAGCATCCCCACCACATATCCACACCCACGGATTAAAAACCGAAATCCTTTCTCTATCCCCTCTAGGTATTCATGATATGCTTGTTGGATGCTGCGCAGTCTCTGCATTTGTATCACAGAACGGACTTTCTGTGATAAAGCTTGATAATACTTTTCTGGCATGGCGAGACGATTATGCGAAATGCAATTTGATAGTAAGGAGATTGGAAGATGGAAGATGATGCGAGAAGGATATATAAGTTTGGCTTTAGGAAGTTTTAAGTTAAGTTTTGGCTTTTGAAATCTAAATGAAAATGATGAGAATGATCAATTGGATAAATATTGATAAATAGATTGGTTTTTGATAAAAATGATATAAGAAGTTCTTTTGGATATCGATTATATACATATAAAAATTTTCAATTAAATTTAACTTATATACAAAATTTATATTAATTTTTGTTTTACATATATTATCTTTTACTACTTGATATACTATCATATAAAATTATAAATAGAATTTTATTCTGTTACAGAATATCTTGAATGAACACGAATTACAAGTTTAAGAAAGCGTGTTCAATTGACATCTCGTGCAATCACGTGCCAAAAGTATAGAGAGAGAGAAAAGATTGTAAAAGAAGGATAGAGATAGAGTAAAAATATTGAAATCAGCGCCATCTTCAGAGTGCCGCAAATGAAACACGAAAAGAAAGGATAGAAGATAGTAAGAGAAGGATAGTGATATAGTAAAAACGGGCTCTTAGCACCATCTTTCGACAATTTTTCGAAAATTAGTTTGAGTTCCAAAAGCAAGAGATGGCGCCAAATTTCACTTTTTATCGTTTTATAAGCTTTTCGTATCATTTCAATTTTAATATTTCTCGCTTCTCTGTTTGATTTTTTCAATTTATAATTAAAAAAATGATAAATAGAATAAAAATTCGAGATGAAAGTAGAAAAATAATGAAAAAAATTGAAACTTATATTTTTTAAATAAATAATTATAAATTAGGAAATATATCTTGATACGAAATTATAATAAACTTAATCTAATTAATATTTATTTATTATCTAATTAACATCATTTTCACTAGTATCTGCAATCTATCAATGATTAAGAAAAAGAAAATCTAAGTAAAAGTAGCAAAAGAAGTGAAAATTTTTATTTTTCGCTTTAACTTGGGAAGTATATCTTGATACGAAATGTTTATTTAAACTTAATCTCACTAATATAATTTATTAACCTATTTTACTAGTACCTACAGTCCAATCTATCTAATTAAATAACTAAAATTATGCAAAATTTAGACTGGACTGCAAGTATGCGTAGTTCTTGGCTTGCCATCGCGTTCCGAAAACTATTACTGATGAAATATTTCTAATATTTTTTCTTTTTTACAGGTAAAAAAAATTTTGTAAAAAAAAAATTTGGAAAGCGATGCCAATTACCGGGTCTCACCAACGAGGAGGTGACTACGCATCGAGACCCATTTAACAATTATTGAAATTTATTTATATTATATAACGAAAGAATGAATAAATAAATAAATGATATAATAAATTAAATAAATAAATAAATATAAAAGTAAATGAATAAATCTAAAATAAAGAAATAAACGAATAAACAAATAAACGTATAAATTAATAAATAAAAAAAATGAATAAATAAATAAATGATATAATATATTAAATAATATTAAGTAAATGTAAAAATAAATGAATAAATAAATCTAAAATAAAAAAAAATAAACGAATGAGCAAATAAATGAAAGTATAAATATTAATAAATAAAAGTAAAGAAGAAAAAATGAATAAATAAATAATTGATATAATAAATTAAATAAATAAATAAATGTAAAAATAAATGAATAAATAAATCTAAAATAAATAAAAAATTAAGTGAATGAACAAATGAATGAAAAAATAATATTAATAAATGAAAGTAGAAAAAAAGATGAATAAGTAAATCAATTAAAAAATAATTATATATAATACATGACAACAGTATTAAATATATATAGAATAATATTAAATTTAGTTAAAATATTTTATTTTCGATCTGTACGCTATCTACGTTCGATACGAAATGATCGCTCTCTCGCGACATGCGTATTTATAGAACGAAGCGAATGTTACGAAGTTCAGCGGAAACATACGTATTCTACCGATTTGTTTGAAATTAATATTTTGAATATAGTGGTCAGTAATTTAACAATTTTTAGATTTTTATTGTTAAATTATGAACTTAACAATTTTTTTACGATATAATATGTAATAATTAATATATATTTTTATAAACTAAAATTGAATTTATATTTTTCCAATATTAATTTTCGATTTATAATTATTACAATATTTTAATTAGTATTTTACACGAAGAATAGTTACAAAATAGTCGTAAATGAATTTATAATAGTCAACAATTTGTCAATTTTTAAATTTTTATTGTTAATTTATGAATCTAACAATTTATTATGACATTATGTTATAATTAATATATATTTTTACGAACTAAAATTAAATTTATTTTTTTATGATATTAATTTTCAACTTATAATTATCTTAAAATATCTCTAAAGTTTTTAGAATTTCTATTTCAATTTATTTATATAGAATAATATTTTATAATAATATTATAATAATAATTATATTATAACATATATTATTATAATAAATAAATATATATATATGTATATTATAATAATAATTAAATAAAAATAATATTATAATAATATTCTTATAAAATATTATTATAAAAAATTCATACATTTAATTTGAAATTTACTAATCGTTCCTATTGAATTTATATTTGAATTAAATAATTATATCCGAATATTTAATTCATCGTTAAAGCATGTAACTTAACAATTTTAGAATACGCGATTATATAATGAAATTATATATTCGATTTAACTTTTATTCACCGTTTTTTAAATCCTATTATCTTCCAGCATTGATTGATTGATTTTTATTTAAAGTAATTACATCAAATTTAATCAAATTATTTGAAATAGAAAAAAATGAATGATATCATTCAAAAATGTATATTAAAAAATTTTAAATAAATAGAATAATAATTTATTTGGTAATAATAATTAATAAATAAAAAATTAAAAATCGAAATTAAAAAAGGAAGAAATAAAATAAAATATAAATAAACCAATAAATAAATAAATAAAAAATTAAATGTATAAATTAAATAATAATATAATAATAAGAATAAAAAGTAAAGAATAAAAGTAAATGAATAAATTAATGAATAAATAAATGCACTTGCAATATTTTTGTAAACTAAAACTAATATTACTATTTTATTTCTTTATTTATTCATTTACAATCACTTATTTATATAAAATTTTAATAATTTCTTCTACTATTTATGTATTTATCATTTTTTTTATTTTTATTCTTGTATCATTTACTTCTTCTTTTATATAATAACTCATTTATTTTTTATATCTTTATTTATTTATTTAATAACTTTTATAACTTAATAAGTATAATTTCTAGATTATAGATAAAATTCTGAACGATTATATTTTGTCTATAATAATTTAAGAAATTAATATTTTAACATTCATGAAGTATAACTTTAAAAATATATGTTTTAGGATAGGTTTGAAATAAAAAGACACGGCAATTCCCCTCCACAGTGTATTTGGTGACCTAGATTGCAATGAAAATATTAGATATAACATCAATGTACGAGATAGTTTTCAATACGTTACTTAAATATCTATAATATAAGATACACATATTGTATAAGTAGATGACATAATATTACGACTTCATAATATTCGACTCATTTACTAACAAACAACATTTAATATGTATTTTTACTTTGTTTTTCTTTTTTTTTTTTCTTTTTATACATGTAGAATATTATAACGACATTGACAATATATATATAATATATCTGTTTCTTTTTAGTCGTAGTGTTACAGAATATAATAACGCGTGCGTAATTCGAATGTCACGAAATCTATTTACGATCTAAATAAAGAATTTTCATCTCTTTTTCAAATTGATTTCATTCGATAGGCTCGTACATATATACATCAATCAAATAAATCTCTTTCGAAAATTGTCGTAACGTTCTGAAGAACAAATGATTCTGCGACGAGAGGTTGTGTGAAACATTCTTCATCGATATCATTCAAAGAAAATGAATACAATAATATTAATGAAAATAAAGAAGAAAATCAAAGATAGCGCAAAACACGAAGCGTAAAAGCAGTAATGACAGTTTTGATGAAGAATAGTTTTTTTCGCTTGTTTGTAAAACACGACAATCAACGAAGAGAATCAACTATGATCGCTTGTTTACAATAATCCTGAGTGTTAAAATTTATCTCAAAACACAAGTTATTTCTCAGCTTCTGTATACTCGATTAAAAATCATCATTAAAATTCATTTCGATCATTAAAATATAATTTTAAAAAACACGTATAAACATATAAATTTTCCGCAATAGATTAAAATTGAATCCATTCGATTTTTAAATTTAAATTCTTCCCTGTGAAACATACAATTATACAGACGCTGTCTTCTATGTTTCGAGCATTTTTCGAGCATTTTTTTTTAAGTTTTTCTTTATTTGTTTCCCATCTTCACTGTCGATAGTTATGTTTTTATATCGCAACGGTGATCGACGTTGACGATGTTTGATCTAATTATCTAATCCTTATCAATATTTTAATGATTAGTTTAGTACGCGTGATTCGCGACGAAAAGCGTAGCATTGCCAGCAGCTCCCATTACACCACCGCTATATTTACCGAGTGCCGATTCGCTGTTAGCCTAAAAAAAATAAAAATATAATTTATTATTAACAAGAAATAACAGTTTGTTAATTATAATTAATATCTAATATTAAGTATCTAATATTACTATATTGTTAGTATATTTATATGCAATATAAGTGAGTAAAAGAAATAAATGCAAAACTATCTATGACACTTACTATGGAAATGTTTTTTTGGAAAGGAAGAAAGGAATTTAATAGAAATGGGATGTTATAAAGAGAACATCATGTGCAGCTTTGCCAGCAATACTTCCAGCTTTATATTTGCCTAGGCTGGCTAGACCATTTGCCTAAACAATCATTTAATGTATATACATGCAAAAAAGAGATATTAAAAAAATATAAATAAAAAATAAATAACAATTATATAAAATTATAATAAATAAATTTAAATAAAATAAAATAGAAAAAATTAAGAATAAAATAGGAAACATAAGAATAATAATAAGAAACATATTATATAAAAACGAAAAAAAAAATTTCTAATCGTAAAACATCTAAGATTATAGAAATAAGATTAAAAAAACGATAGAAAAAAAAAATTATCCAAATCCATATATATAAATAATTCATATAAATAAAATATTTTATTAAAATTTTATTTAAAAAACTATACTAAAAAAAATTAAAATAGAAAATTATTAAATTTAAAAAAATTTAGTTACAATTGTAAAAAAAAGAAAAAGAAAATTTATTCTATTTATACATATAATGAAGAAAATTTGAAATAAAAACACTTAGCCTTAAAATTACCTTAGCCCTCTTGATAAGCTCTTCCTGACCAGCAGTAATCTGTTCCTTCTTGCCTCCCCATGCGCGAAGCACGGAAGCTTGAAGAGCACGGCCATAGCTGAAGGTCAAAGCCCAAGGTTTGTTCGCGGGGAACTTGTTAATAGCATCCAAATTCACAGATGCCTCCTCTTCTGATTGACCGCCACTGAGGAAGGTAATTCCAGGTACTGCAGGTGGAACGGTACGCAATAAAGCGGTCACAGTAGCTGCTGCGATTTCCTGAGGTGACGCTTTATTTGGACAACTCTGTCCTGGTGTTACCATATTCGGTTTCAAAAGAGTTCCCTCAAGATATACATGATGATCACTGAGTGCCTGTAAAATATGATCAAGTTTTAATTGTTATATAAAAAGGAAAAGAAAGTTCTACAATTAAATCACTAATAATTAACGAAATATCATAAAATAAACTGGTGATATTTTTTAATTCTTTATATTATATCCTATATATGAAAAATATTCTTTTATATAAGTATTGTATTTTTAGGAAAAATATGAAACTATATTATATTGGAAAATTCAAATTTTTGTTCTAAATAAACAAAAAATTTATGTTTTGCAATTTATAATATAATTGATACTATTTTGTAACTGAATATTTTATTTTATTTATGAGATTTCTTCTATTTCCAATCAAACAACTGTAAGTAAATATAAAATTATTGTATAAGTTATTGTAGATAATTGTTATTTATACTATTATTTATACAAATTTCTGTGCAAGAGATCAATATCTTTGCGTGAAACGAACCAAATCAATGTGTACTTTTCTCTCACCTTGTACACGGCGGCCAGAACTTCTTCCGTGACCTGTTGGCAACGGGCAAGATCATGATCACCATCAGGTAAAATCTCAGGCTCGACGATTGGCACAATCCTAGCACTTTGACAAATAGAAGCATAACGAGCCAAAACATTGGCATTTTCCAAAATGGCCAATTTACTGGGACAATCTTTTCTGATTTTCAGCACGCATCTCCATTTGGCGAATTGACATCCATCTTTCTTGTATTGAATACAACGAGCTTGAAGATTGTCGAGACCCTGCGTAGTGGTTTCTTCGTCGGTACCAAATAATGTTACTACACCTGTGTCAACCTTGATACCTGGCAAGATATTACGTTGTTTCAACAATTCGACGAATGGTGTTCCATCATCGGCCTTCTGGTACAAGGTCTCATGGAATAGAATAACACCAGATATATGCTGGCTGATGACATCCTTTGAAAAGATGAAAAAAATTATTAGAATTATTATTAGAAGATATTATTTTTAAATAATTGGATGCTCTAACTATTAAATAGAAATTTAATAATAATAACTGATTTTAGAATTGCATTTGGATATAACAATAAAATAAAAGAAATAACAAAAGAAATAATAATACAATAACATTGAGCTTTAATTATTAAGTAATTGCTTTTTTTTTTAATAAATTTCTAAATATTAGAATTTAATAAATTCTAAATATTTAATTGACTTTTCTGATTTGAACAGGATTTTTTTGCAATATATATTTATTATATTATATAATAAAAAAAATTGTACTTTAGCACTGGTAAAAAGAAGTTGTCTGTATGCTCTACGATTGTCCTCAGTATTTTCAACATTGATGTCTTTTAGACGCTTGCCGATCGTTGCGGTCGATTCATCTGCAGCGAGGATTCCTTTTCCAGGCGAAACAATTTGCTGGGCAATGTTCTTCAATTCTTGTTTCAACTCAGGTGTGAGCTTATCATACTTTTCTGCAGCCATTGTCTACAAAACATGTTTCATATTAAAAAAAAAAACTTTCGAAAAAAATTCAAAAAATATCAGTCTTTCGAAAAAAGCAATTAAATAATTTTTCTTTGTAAAGATTTGTAAAGAGGAGGGAGAGAAGAGGTTAGAATTTTAAGTACAAAAATTCTTCCTGAATGCTTTCATCTTTTAAAACAAGTCTTTCGATGCGCAGATATTGTGCACATGAAATATCAAATGTCCACTAAGGTTTCCGTAGCGTAATTGAATTTCACAATGGCCCATTAATGTCAATATTTCATAAAAAGAAAACGCTGGTTTGACCTATTTCTACGCTTTCGTTCTATTACTTTGAACTAATAAAATACTAAAATAGATCGATATATTCCTAATACGTTGAGAGGAAAATCATCGCATGTCATTTAATATTATATTAAGGAATTTCATAATTTTCATTAATCATATTAGATTTGAATGATTAAGTTCATAATTGTAGATTAATTCTTTACAATGGATTAATTTTCAATTAATTATTTTTCACTAATTCTCTGACTAATCTCATATCAAAAAGAATAAGATTTTTTTTTTTAAATTTTTCTTTTTTCAAATATTCTTTTTAGTATAAGTTCATTAACAATTTATATATATATATATATATTTAGTGATATAATAAATATACTTATAATATAAATTTCAAAATCATCGTGTCAATTAATTGCTTGTAATTAGATCAAATTTATAACCCGTACCATAGCTCGTACTAGAATAATATTCCGTAAAATCTTTGCTTTATAGATAATCATTTTTAAAGAAATCATTTTTTCTATTCTTCAAAATGAGGTTGACTTGTAAATCTACAACTATTTAACACTATTTGCTATTATATTTTTAATTAAACACTTTCAATCTAAAATCATGTGAAACATTACAATTATTATTTACACAGATTTATATATTTCACAGATTTATATCAGAATATTTAAAAAAAAAAAAAGTAGTAGCTATTTCAACAGCTATTTTCTTTCTCTATAATAACTAATTTGAAAATATTCAATTCAATTACAGATTTTCGTAACTGTAAATCGATAATTTTGTATCTGAGATTAACTTCATGATCAAATGTAATAAAAAACATAAGATATAAATTGAAATATAAATTTAGAAATAAATTGTTATAATATATTTCATAATTATTTTTATTTAATAATTACTTTTTACTTTTTAATATATTATAAGTTATATAGAATAATCTAAGAATATATTTATTTTTATATTTTCAATATAATTATTTTATTCAATTTATCATCTTTACAATGACACAGAGAAGTAAAAAATGGCACACTTTTCAATCGTTCATTAAGATATCTATAGGTTATGTAATAAAATTAATTACATAAATATATAATTTAAAATAGATATTAAAAAGAATATCTATGAATTTTTTACAATAATTATGCAATATAAATAATCAAGCTAAATTTAAAATCTCTGCAAATCTACTATTATTTAGTTAATAAATATATTAAATATATTATAATATAATATTACTATATAATCGTCATGCCTTCAATAAGGTAAATTCAATAAGTAAATTGTTCATTTTAAATTATCTATCTTAATATACGATATTATAAAAACACTCCAAAAACGATTAATATTCTTGAACAACAAAATTAAAAACAACCAATAACTTAATATTAGTTCACTAATAAAATACTCTAGCGACAAAACAGTGAACCATTTATTTCACTAAGACGTAACATGCAATATGTTGAACATTAATCTCTATCTAGAAAAGATAGTGTCTAAGGAATAAATTTGCGAGGACAGGCGAATGGAGAAGTTCGTAGGAATTGTCATGAAGAATGGATAGGTGGTCGTTCATAAATGGGTATTCGCCAAAAGTTTTAGTTTTAGTTTTTTGATTTTACATTTATTAGTTTATGGTACGACATATATTAGTCAAGATTGAAATAAAAGAATTTTGATAATTTGATATACATCTTATTGAAGTGAGACTGTCTTCTATACTTCTTTCTGTAATCTTTGAGTTGAAAAAATCATACGAATGCAATAAAAAAAATGTGAATATTTTATATATTTAATCAACAAATGTTTGTAGATCGATATTGAAGTTCTTGCATTAATTATTGCAACTGTGAAAATTGTGATAAAGAGAATAAAATTGCGCTCTATTGAATCAGCTTGTTATTAAAATAATCGATAAAATAAAAATAATATTAAAATGGAAGGAAATTTTTATAAATCAAAATATCATGTTTCTGACTTTTTTGGATTTGAGAGTTCTCAACGATTATTGAATAGTAAGTTTAAAAATAATAAAAATTTCTAGATTGAATATGATATTGGAATTTGAATTTCTTAGAAAATATTTATAGAAATAGTTGAAAAAAAATAAATGAAATATTTGATTAGCTTTCTTAAATCAAGATAAAAATAATATATCGAAATTAAAACGTGACAGTATGATACGAGATAAAATATAGAATAAAAGGATTAAATGTTATACAATAAGATAAACCGCGAATCTTTAAACGTGTATTTCACATAGAATTATCATCAAATTGATTATTCTTGACCTTAGAGAATAAATATATTGCAAAAAATATTATATTCATAATGAATTCTGGAAAATTCACGAATTTTATTATCATTAATAATTACTAAAATATTTTTATTGATATGTTTGAATTTATTTATATATTTTTATTGATATTAAAAAAAAGATATATTTTAATTCTGAAATATTATTTAATAAATTTATAAAATCTTAAATTAATAAGTTTGATTTTTTGTTTAAATTTAACTAGTTTTTTATGAGAATGAAAATTAAAAATATGTACTCTATTTTCATTCTCATTTAATAACACAAAACAATAATAAAAAAGAAAAACCAATTATATCATCATCCTTTGAACTAAACAATGGATACAAAAAATTAAACTTAGTCTTGTGTATACTATCATTATATTATTTTTTACAACTGTGCAAAATAATATCTTTTTGGTCCAATTCTAAAGCAGAACTTTTCTTCTTTCAGAATATCCTTACCATCCCACATAAAAGTATAAACTAAATGATGCAAACATGAGTTAAAGATCGATAAAACAACTACAATGAGTCTCCATTCAATAGAAGTCGTAAACAAGCGCCGCGCGCGCGTACACAAATTAACATAACAATATTACAATCTTAATTAACAAATTGTCGACATCGTAAATCGATTTTTTCTTTTTTTTACACTGTACTGACTTACTATCTTTTTTAAATCTTTCAAAAAAGATATATAAATAAGAAATATACTTAAAATTTTGTCTTTTTAAAATTCTTTTTAAAGTTATTATTTTTCTTTAATTAATTATCAGTATATAATTATCAATATATACAACTTCAGTGAAATTTCAAATGATAATTATAAAATTATAAATTGAAAAATTAGAAATTTAGAAATTTTAAATAAATTTTCAATAATGCTAAATGGAAAAAAAATTAAATAAAAATTGCATTATTAAAATAAAAAAACTCAGAATCTAATAAAAACGATTTGCTAAACTGAAAATTTTATACGAGATTTCTACAAATGATTTACAAAAAATTATTTTAATTAAATCTTCCCTTTTTTTTTCCAACAAAGAGATTAAGATTCAGTTAAATTAACAGCTTTTCTAAAAATCCGCTATACAACATTTAACATTTAAAGAAAGAAAAAAAAAAGAAAAAAAGAAAGAAAAATGAGAAAAAAAAAAAAGAAAGGGAAACGAGAAAGGGATCGCACAAGAAAGGAAATTAAAATCGATAAAACGGTACACAACGGCCAACATTGAGTTCTTTGTTGCTACCTTTACCTCTCTCTATCATCTTGGTCTTGAATAAAATCAATTTATCCTATGTATAAAGCAGTAATATAATTTTCTTGAAATCATATACTTTATATAATGCTAACTTCTAACAATTTCCATCATATCATTAATAATCACAATAACAATAATAATTTTGCTAATCTAGATTGGAAATTACGAAATTAATAGTGTTTTACATGAACATAGTAAACAGCATTGATTTCAAATAACATATGATTTCATTGTGACGAATAGAATATAGATTCAAATTAAAACATGGTTAAATATTCAATAATATATTAATTTTTCTTGATTAAAATATTTTTAGATTAAATACATTTTTTTATGTTATTAATTTTTAATTATAAATTATATTTAATATAAATTGTATGGATTAGGTATATAATAATAAAGACTAACAAAATAAAAAATCGTTATTTGTTGTTATAATATAATTGAGAAATAATGAAGCATATCTATGTATTCATCTACAATAACGTTTCTGATCTCAGATTAGAATCTAAATCGGCTAATTTTCAAAGCAGAATTTATATTAAGAATTCTAATTCTGATAAATAAAAACAAAAATATGTATCTTTAAAATCTACGAATAAAACTATAATCACACATAACAATTTTCATACACTATCTTAGAAAGGAATTCACTTAAGTCAAAAATTCTAATTTTAATGAAAACTTACATATATATAGAATATAATGGAATATGCATGACATAACCTATAATAATGTATGTATATTCATATATTTATATTCATAAAGATTCGTTAAAAAGTGTTTATTAATTTTAATGACATAACTTATTATTTAAATTAATGTATGATGTATAAAAATTTTTATTATTGATTATATATTTTTGCATTTGATAAAACAAAAATTTTAAAAAGACATATCAAGTCCACTCAGCTGATAAATTCTGAATTAAATAAATCTGATAATCTAATAAATTGATGATTATCATGATAACGTTGCAGACAATCATATTAATCATATCTCTATCTGAAAGTAATAAAAAGCTTTTTATTTAAAAATGAAGACATTAGTGTTTATTAGTCATTATGAGGAATGAAATAGTGTGAAATTAATAGTTTGTGTATACAAAAACATGTTTCATGATATAAAATAATTTTTTTCATTTTATAAATTAATTCTTTTTAAGAAAAATAATATCATTTTACAAAATTTAAAAAATTATCAATTTAATAAATTATTATAATTAAACTTATAAATTATATAATTTATATATTTTATGTAATATAAGTTTTAATTGTATAACAATTAAATATTCGAAAATCGTGATCTCACAATCCATAATCTAAATCTCCCATAATCACTTACCTGTTCTAAACATATGATTCTTGTCCTGATTCAATCCAGATCGCAAATAAATTTTTGGATTTCGCGATTCGTATTACAGTCACACGTATATATAAGAGCAATAAATATAATATAATTCCAATAATAATAATGATAATAATAATAATAATAACGGCAATAAATATGTTCTCTTTGGTATTATTCAATCCTCTAAATATATCTTGTTTAATTTTTAAAAAATCGATTTTTTGTTCCTCTTTTTCTTCAATCTTTTCAACGTTTTACTTGAATATAATAATTGTTACACCCTTAATATCACCGACAATACCGATACGAGATTATAAATATTTAAGAGAGTAAAAGTGACCGGAGAAGACGAAAAAGTAAACGGATCGTTGGCGACACAACGCGTTCTCGGCTGATGAAACGATGTTAGACGTCCCGTCGGGCCCAGCCGAGAGGACCCAATTTGCCTATTCGACTACATCTTTACGGATCGTCGAAGAACGAACAGTGCTTGGAGCGCGTGTCTCGTGCGAGCACGAGACGACGACTGGCTTTATCCGGCTAGTTCGCCCCGTCCAAGAGGCGGCAGGGGTACCTGGCTGCAGTGCAGTGTCGTAACTGCAAAACAGGGGGGTAGTTGCTACACTCTCCCTCTTTCTCTATCCTTGCTTTCCGACTTTCGTCATCCTCTAATTTCAAATTCCGCACTGTCTTCCTTTTACGCATATGTACATAACCCTATCTCTTACGTTTGCCTATATTCCCATATTCATCCTCTTTGTCCCATCTTCGATCAAAGCTCCCTCTATTAATATTGTCTCTCCCCTATATACTAGCCAACTGCCCTTCTTTTTTCCATCGAGTATAGTTGTCTTTCTCTTTTTTCTTTCTCTATGCACATTATCTTCTTTGTTCTACTTGCAACAAAGTTCACTTCTACCGGCATCGTTGTCTCATCCACGAACTATCCTCCTTCTTTCCATTGACTATAGTTGTTTTTCTCTTTCTATGTGCGCACATAGCTGTCTCGCTTTTTCACTATAACCCCACTCCTTCCAATTTCGTGGAAATATCGCTGTCCCACTTCTAACCACTGTTCAGCCGCCTCTTTCTTTATCCGCTCGACAGCCTGCCGCCCATAGCAGCATGGAGCAAGGGAGTGGGCTAGCCGCAATGCAGCACGCGCAGACGTTCTCGAGGCTACACGCCTGTATTATCCCCCTGCGCACCCTGAATCCGTGACCTGAGACATCGGTATCGGTGGATGCAAGGAACCTGTGTGCGCCGTTTGGGGTAGACGTTCCTTTCGCCTTCAAAGCGTATAGTACAGCTAACGAGCGTGGGATTGTTGTATACTTGTGTGAGATAGTCACTCTTACAGATTTTTATTTGCAAATTTGCCAACTTTCGATAGAAATTCTGAATGTCTGACATTCAAAACTTATATTTTTTCTATTTTAATTAATATGTATGATTTTCAAATCATTATATCCTAAATATTTAATAGAGATTGCTTAATTCTAATAATTTTATTGAAAAATATATCAGATTCTTATAATGCATATTTGACTGCGCTTTCTATCTCCATGAATAATCCGGAAATAGAGCCAAAGTCCTTTTATATATTTGAATATTATAGATTCATTATTGCAATAAATATACTATCTAAGTTAAAAAAAAAAAAAAATTTAATATAATCCCTCTTCTGTTAAAATCTTATGTCCAAAACAGTAATATAAAATTGTAATAACCCTTCAATTATCATAAAATTAATATTGGAAAAATTTTTATATATTTCATAGATATAAAATATTTCGATTATCACAAAATAATAATTTTAGTAGACATATATATAGTATTATAATAGCCTTTCAATCATGAATGACTTTTCAAATTTGATTAATTTTGAACGAACGAAATTTTAATTCCCAATAGAACTTTAACCCAATAGATAAATTTTCAATTTCAATCCATCTCCAAGATAAATTTTCTACGATCATCTTATGGTACAAAGATGTACGGTACGATAGGAAATTCTAAAAAGGGATAAGATCCCCGTTGGAATTCTCCCGTTGAATAATCGAGGCGCGGTTCGCTTCGTCACGACCCCCGCCATTTACAATTTCGAGCAATCTCCGATCGCTGAAGCGATTACGTAAAACCGAGGGAAAACGAATATTCCGCGATCAATGCAAGGATTGATTATCGCAATTTTGCCCTAGTCACGATCGAGTTTTCGCTAATTTGCCGAGGCTGAACACGCTCTGTTCGAGATTAACTTTGGTGGAAAATCGAGATTTAACAAAATTCACTGTCGATAGATCAATGGATTCTATAAATAATCTTCACGTATGCGAGAATGGATGAATCATTTAGACAACTCATTAGCCAAATGAAGCAGCGGTAACTCTGATAGTTGGAAAGTTAAATGAATGTTACGATTGTTTAACGAGTTTCAAGAAAATAAACTTGATCATATTATCATATCGGTATATCGGTTAATTAATGATAATCTTTTTTTGAACATGATTTTTAAATATCATTAGTTGCATATATGTATGATGTTTCTTTTTGATTTCATATTAGATTGAATAATATGTTAGGTTTCCTTGAAAAATATATTATAATTTGTACAAATAGTTCTCAATATATTGAAATAATTAATTGTAATATTAATAATTAAAATATTGAATAAATATCTAAAAAAAAATCTATGATATCATATAATTCTTACCATTAGAGGAAAATTTCCTTTTTCTTTTATAATATGAATTAATATTAGTTTGACTTTCAATTCTCAAGATAAAAGCATTAATCTAGTATTAATCAACATCAATACAATAATTATAACTTTACATCAATTATAACTTTGTAATTTTTTTTCAAATATATAATATATACTATAATTTATAATTTATACTAATATTTTTTAATATTTTATTTCAATTATGAAAGAAAATTTCAAAAAAATATTTAATATTTGTTTTCATAAAAATTACAATCTAATATATTAAATAATTTCATTAATTTTTCTATAATACCTTCTATTTTATTTTTTTATAATATTTCACATTAAAGATTTTTTATCATAAAGAATATTTTCTTAACTTTAAAAGACATAATGAAATCGAGTAAATATTTCATTAATGAAAGTTTGAAATTCATTGAATCTTTTTGAAGTTTATTTGAAAAATAAAAAAAAGACTGAGATAAGTTTGCAAGATCCTAAGAAGAAAATTCTAAAAAAAAACTAAAAGACCATTGTTTTATATATATTATATTTGTTTCAATATTTAATAACTGAATATAATTGGTTATAAAAATGTCCAATCATTAAATATTTTACATAAAATTATGTTGATGAAAAAAATTATTAAAGAAAAAAGTTAACTTTAAAAAGTTAAAATTTATTCTATAGTCATATTCTAATAGTTTGAAATAAAAACAGTTTTTAAAATTATTGTAATTTCTGTGTTTTGCAAATAGTTTTCATAATATAATATTATATTATATTATATATTATATATTAAATATTATATATTTTATAATATAATATTTAATATATTTAAAAAAATCATTTTATTGAAAAATTAGGTTAAGATCATATTTAAAGAGATATTTAAAGTCAAATTATCTCAAATTAAATTAAAATATCTTCTTCGTTGAAAACGAATAATCATCACAATGAAATATTAAAATTTAATTTTTGAATATGTTTTTTTCTCTTCTCATTTTTTTTTCAAAGCGGTTTCTGAATAGTCGTCATAGGAGAAGTCACTCCTTATTTTGGAAAATATTTACGATTTACTTACATGCAATGGAAAAAGCTTCTAAAGAATGCATGGAAATGAAAGTCACGCTTCAGGAAAAATACGGCGTAGATAAAGTTTTTTGGTTATATAAATGATAAAGAAGTCGCTACTTTACTAAGGTTTGGAAAATTTAAAAATTTTACTAGAACCAGAAACGAATTTCTAACAATCTAACAAGTATTATATATATATAAGTAAATCGTATATCGTATATCATACATCGTTGAAATTTACTGAATTAAGAAATCATAGTTCGGAACTTTTCTTATAATCTCTTTTTGTTCGAAATACATCTTTTATTATTCATCTTTATAAACCTCATAGATTTACATAGAAATAGGATTAATTTCAATAATACAAAGACTCAACAAAACCAGATATCTGAATTAAATTCATCAATTTAAAGGTTAGAAATTTTCTAGCATTGTAATTTATATTAGCTCATCAATAAAAGTTGATATATAATAGATTTATATTTATTAAAATAATTATTTGTGTTTTAATATTTTTCTCACTTATTGACAATATTTAGCTAATAATAAACACTTTTAAATAATAAATATAATACAAAAATTATATTTCCAGTATGAAATGACATTTTTATTAACATTTATTTTTAACTTATATTTTATATAATCTTTATATATTCGCATAGAATAAAAAATTTATTAGAATATTTAATAAAGAAGTTATTTTATTTATATCTTTACTTATTTTATCTATAATTAGAAGTTTTTTATCAAAATTCTATATTATTTACTTTACGATTTCAAGTAATTTTCGTTAAAAAATGCAAATTTCAAATAAATCAATAACAAATATGTCAAATAACAATAATTCTACTGGATTTAGAAATATATATATATTTTGGAAAATAAATTTTAAGTTTTCTCTTAAAGAAAAAAATATTATACATACCCATATATATCCTGATTTTGATAATAAATATTAATTGGTCATAAAATATTCAAAATTATTATCGAGATTTTATTTAAAGTATTATATTTAAATTTCTTAAAATATATATCTATAAGAATTAAAATCAATATAAAAAAAAAAATCTATTCTTTAAGTATCTTCGAAAGTTTTCAATCATTCTAACCTATATATTTGATCCCATTTCTAGCTATAAATTAAATAGATATACAAATAAACAAAGATTAAATATTGACACATATCGCGCAATAGTTGAATCCAAATATGAAATCAGTTTATTTATATTCTTTTGAAAAATAATTATGATAATAATAATTCGAATGATATGAAAACAAATTCCTCGTGACAAAAATGTTACTAAACTCCACGTAACATAATTACATTTAATTAATAATAATTAATGAAATTTATGGAATTTTCATTTTAAGTCAAATTTCAAAATGCATATACTAAAAATCAATATTTATAAATTTTTTTTCTCTTTAATTTTATACGTTTAAATATTTACAATTCGAATGTTTTTCCCTATATTTTTCCCTATATTTCAATTTTTCTTCTTTATTTTATTTCTTTATTTCTTTATGTTTGTTAGATTGATTTATTTTTCGCGCGCGACTTAAAATAACTATCGCCATTTAATATTGTTAGCATCATATCGTTTAGTGCGAGTTATGAATAGATAATGAAACGACTTGAACAGCTATAACATTTCGAAGGCACGTGATAGCAGCGCAATTCATGCTTAAAATGTATTTCGTTTCTTCACACTTG